TATATATATATATATGCTTTATGAAAAAAATTTTGAATTATATTTTAAATTATATTTAATTTCAAACAATGTTAAGATATTTATCGTAGATATATAAACATTTAAGAAGTGTTCAAAATTTAAGAAAAACACATTTTAAAATAATTCTTAAATATATTTCAATATATATCAAATTTTTATATTGTTTATATCATCTTATAAATTGATTTTGTAACATAAAAGTTTAGATCATAATAAGTGTCATGATGGAATTTATTATATTATGAATATTATTAAAGGATTAAATACGTTCAATTTCTGAAGACTTAAAGAATTTGTATTTGCTTTTTTAAAGTAAGGAATTAAATTTTTAAAATGTTAGAAGATTGAATTAGACAAGTTTAGTTATATTAAATTCTTGTGATTATTGCTTTTATATAGCAATTAAAATTTATTTATTCTTTTAATTAATTGAATTTTAAATTTTAGTGCAAACCGATTGGACTTTCCATTGCAAAAATAACGGATAAAGATCTATTGCGTACCATTGAAAATTGTGTGCAATTCGGAAAACCGTGCTTGATAGAAAACATCAGTACTGAACTGGAAGCTTTTCTAGATCCTATTCTCACTTGTGCATTGTTCAGTCACGCCGGACAGCCAAGCATCAAAATTGGCGAAAATATAGTACCCTACAATTTCGATTTCCGTCTTTACTTGACTACGAGATTATCTAATCCCTATTACACACCAGATACAGCAATAAAAGTACTGATAGTCAATTTCACGCTGACTGCTGGGTGAGATTTTAATTTCTGAAAAAGTCTGCGTAAAGAATTCCGTACATATATAAATTTTCTAAATTTTCTAAATTTTTATTATCACGTTTCTATTATTGTAAAGTCACTATCAAATCGTATCTAACATATAATAGTGAAAATTTCAATCAACACTATTCCTGAGATAATAAAAATTAAACTTTTCTGAACATTCCTTTACCATTTTTTCTTAAACTTTATCCAAAATTTACTATAGGTATTATATCAATATAATAAGTGAAAAATGTATCATCAATATCAAAGATTAATACTAATAATCAATCTATGATTTTGAAATATAACATATATAGTAAAATAAATTAAATAGGCTTAATCTCTTTTCTTATTTAATAAAATAGAATTGTATTCAATTAATTCGCACATATTGAATCTGATATTTGATTCTAATTTTACGTATGTAACCTTATAGCGGTCTTGCCGATCAAATGTTATCTCTGGTTACTATAAAAGAGCGTCCTGATCTTGAACACGAAAGGAATGCGCTTATCGTATCGAGTGCTGAAATGAAACAGGATCTGAAGGAGATCGAGGACAAAATTCTTTACAGACTCATGGTACCTGAATCAATAATTGATGATGTTGATTTAATTTGTACCTTGGAGGTTTTAAAAACTAAGAGTGAGGAAATCAAGGTAAAATATATATAAAATATCCAATTGTTATAAACTTAAATTTGAATGATAGAATTGTTTATTTTTTTCTTATATAGTATTAATTTAATCGTAATAAGATCTCAGTTCTTTGATAGAATAAAAAATATATTTTGTATTCTAATTTATAAATTGTATATTTTATTATACGTGTATACATATTTATCAGAAGAAAAGAAAAAAGTTATTTAACAATATAATAGATTTTTTTCTTTTATAGATGAAGATAGAGACTATTGAGCTTACACAAACAGACATTGATTTTACAAGATCATTATATATGCCAGTAGCAAACCGGGCACAAATATTATTCTTTTGTATCGCTGATTTCCAACGTATCGATATCATGTATCAATACTCTCTAGAATGGTTTGTCGTTATATTCAATAGGAGCATATCAAATACCAAAATAAACGGTAAGTGAAATTTATTATATTCTAACATCGCATTATATTAATTTAAACTTACCTGATATATAATATAAATTATATAAATTATATAATCTATTTAAATTATATAAATTGGGACGTCTCTGTAAATAAAATTTTTTATTAAAATAATAGCAATTTATTTATTACAAAAAGTACTTACGACTAGTAAGTATGAATATTTGTAAATACTAGTTTTTAAATTTAAAATTAAGGATTAAATCAAACAAACCTATCAATATTCAAATTTATAAAATTTGTAAAGACTTCATACATTGTGACTCTTAATTTAATTACTTAAAGAATTAATTTTATTAAAATTTAGTGATTTAATTTTCCAGATAATATTAACGAACGAATTGCTAACATCAACGAGAATCTTACGTTTGCTTTCTTTACGAATGTCTGTCGCAGCTTATTCGAAAAACACAAAATGCACTTTAGTTTTCTCGTCTGCGCACGAATTCTTTTAGATAATGGTACAATTGATCCAATGGAATGGCAACACTTTCTTACAACAGCCACACCTATACGGGTAAAACGTGAACTGAATTTATTATTAACCGCGCTTCTCATAGATAACAAGAACTTATTTTATTGAC